ATCGAGTCAGTTGTCCGGCTCTGAACGCGTCGAGATAACGCGGTTATTGCGGGCGATTTTTCCACGAACAAATTCGGTCGTTACGTAACGTTTTCGGGAGTGACGTATTAAATATCGCGCGATTATAGTTATTCGCGTATACGTGTGCCGGTGGAATTGTGTCGAGCATCGAGGAAGCTATCAATCCGAGAGGACAGTCTGAGAGGATGAGGAGGCCTGATGGGAGAGGCATCGGGCGCCAGCGGAACAACTTTGGGGTAAATATATATATATATATAAAAGTAATTTTAATTTTTGCTTATACTTAAGTTGTTTTATTTCATTATAGTTTTAAAATAATAATTAGAAAGAAATAAGTAATTTGAAATTTTATAAAAATTATTTTTCAAAAAATGTATAATTATTGAAATAAATGTCTAATTGAATGATGAATAAGAAGTTTGATGTGCGTAAGAATTATTTAATATCAAATTATTTATTTATATGCTTCAGGAGATAACGACGCGCAAAGTGTCGCATCGAGGGAGCTGACAACCCGAGAGGACAGCCTGAGAGGAGGAGGAGGCCTGGGAGAGGCATCGGGCGCCAGCGGAACAACTTTGTGGTAAATAAAATATTATTTCTTATTTTGTGGGAGAGTAATTTTTTTGTTTATTCTTGAGCCTTTTTATTTCACCATTTGATTTGAAAATAATAATTAGAAGAAAAGGAGTAATTTAATCTTTTATAAAAATGGATTTTTGTAAAGATCTTTATCGGAGAATGTATAATTATTTAAGGAAACATCTAATTGAGTAATAAATGAAATGTTCGATGCGATAAGAATTGTTTTAAAATATTAGATTTTTTGAACACTGTTTTAATATGGATTTTATAATTTGCTTGTTACAGAATCAACGCAGCTACGTGGCAGATATAATTCCGCTGTTGCGCATCAGGGTTGGTGAGTGATAAATTAAATATATCTATTGAGGTAATTGACAACTGGAGTTTGCTAGTTAAAGTAGTAATATGACGTAAGATCTTAATATGCCTATATATTTATTGTTATGAAATAGAAGATTTTTTCTTAGTTAGTAATCTAGATAATTATTTGAGAATTGATCAGTTTTACATCACTTAAAAATAATTTTGAATTAATATATTATATAAAAAATTATTTTAATAATTTGTAAAATATAAAGAGGTATTTTTACTAATTCTAATTGTGTGGGAAATTTTTTATCCTTTTCGGATCTTACGTCATTCGCATTTATCTGAATTTTTCATCTCTGCATGCTTTGCGCTCTTGAAATAAGAATCGACTATGAATACCGGTCTCGATATATGATATGTATACAGACATCAGTTGAGTCATCTTACTATAACAGTATTCTGTGTATAATAGTAGGAAATAGTAGTGATTAAAGGAAAAAAAAAATTTTACAAGACAAATGTCAAAATATAATGGACTAAAATATAAAACATTTTATGTCAAAACAGATAAGACTAAGATATAAAATATTTTATAAACTAAATTAATGTCTCGACAATTGTGTTTTAATTCTTTTAAAGTAACTGGAGAAGCCAATTATGTAAGAAGAATCATATGGTTTCATAAAAAAATTGATGATATTAAAAAGAGAATAGTATATAAATCCAGATAAAATGTATGTGGATCTGAATCGATCAAACTATACTACTATGTTAAAAGTTTCTCGGTAGCTTCTTTCTTCGAACACCATGTATACGTAAATTCCTAGGAGGAAGACTACGGGTTTTTAACGCTGTCTATTACTCGTTATCTAGTAGTCATGTCTCGTTGCTTGCCGGAGTATATTCGTGCGCTGTTCTCGTATGCCGGGAAGTGAATCGCGGAATCGAACGTGTTGACTTTACGCTTTCTTATCTGCTCGTTATATTTAGCTTAAAATTAATCATAATCGTATATAAATAACAGTGTCGTATTTGATTCAGAGATTTCTTCACGTTTTTATCGGAAAAAATCCGTGATGAATGAGCTTTTTTTCATACTTTTACTCTTAACAAATATATAGTTATATTACGTGCATCAGTAAGGTGATCAAATACAAATTTTTTTACAGATTTTTATTAAATAATAATATTTTATTAAATAATAACATTTTATTAAATAATAATATTTATGCATTAGTTCCATGTTATTTATTATATACGAGTAATATTTGTTTTTCTCTCTATTAAATAACATATGCAATTTAAATTCTTTAATTATTTTACTTTTTATCTTTCACGGCAATTGTCGTTTCTTTATTAGCTACAACTAGACTCTTGTCGGCACTTTGTTAGCTATAACTAGAATCTTGTGTGCGCATAAATATATATGTATGTATGAATAAGCAAAACCGGAAAGAATATTTCTCTTGTAAATTTCCTTATCTAACGCAAACCGGTTAAGATGAAGACCTGATAATCAAGCAATTATACCATAAGATTCTTTGATAAATGTTTCATGATATGATTCATGATAAATGTTCAAATAATTGTGATAAAAACAAATCAATCGTTAGCTAGTCAAAAACGATTAGCAAACATTTATAAGAAAATTTATATTCTTAATGCTTATAGATAAACTTATAGATAGATTATACATTTTTGACAGATATATAGAAATATAGATAATGTTTATAGATAGATTATATATTTTTTGCGATTATCGTAGTTAATAATTATAATTAACTAATAAGTGCAACGACATTAAAACGTGAAAGAAGTGGCATTAACAAATAGCAATCCAATTTTATTGGATTGTTATTTATAACCAGCTGCAATTCAACTTGCAAATTTTATGAGTAATCGTGAGAACGTATTGTTTGCTTTCGCTCTTACAAAGTCTGTGCCTGTAGACAATGGCCTTCGACAACGCTAATTCCGGAAGACTCTGCATGTTGCTATGCTATTGCTTCGATGTTTTCTTCATCGGGACTAGTAATTTATAAGATTGACCTTACATTAACAAACGCGCGTTATTTGAATCGAACAGTAAACCTCTTTATTCGTGTAACATATCAAGCTCAAACGAACTCTTTAGCAATTTATTGAAATATCATCAATAGTAATTTTTCTCTTTAATACTTTCAACATATTCAAAATTCTTAGCGTTCCTCATTTATATCTCGCTCGCAATCTGTTCCAATGACATATATGCAAGATGAAAGTGTCGTTCTGAGG